CTCTGACGTCTGACCATGTCAAGCAGGCGCTGGGAAGGCTCCTCTTCCTCTCCCCGGCCGTATGCCCTCCAAGGAGCTTGTAGGAACTGACGGCGCCTTTGATGTGTCAAATTTAATTGAATTGGGCAAGATGTTGAGAAGGCATTACGCAGGTCCCTGCTGACAGACAGACACCTACGTGGTGGGGTCACGCACGCCTTGGTTCACCCCTAGGCTTTTGGAGGAAAGAAGACGAGGAGGCTTTTTGCGAGGAGGACAGGTTTAGCCGTCTCCCTCCTCCTCCTCCTCCTCCTCGCTGGCGTCGGCAGACAAACAGCACAACCAAAAATCGCCCATATCTACCACTCAATCGCGGGGCCACATGGCTTGGGGACGATGTGTGGGAGGGGGATAGGGACCTGAGCCCACCACTGGTCAGGGTGCAGGGTGCCTGGGTGTGAGGAAGGCAGCTGGTGCCTCATCCTCAGCCGGGGCCCTCCCGAGGCTCCGCCTCACCCACGGAGGTGTGTGTGTTATTAACTGAATACGTGTGTCGGTCCCTGTCGTCCCCAGTTTGCCGATTTCATTTCCTGAGCTGCTATTCATTTGTCATTTCCGCGGCAGCCCAGATTTCTGATGAGTTCAACTCCGAGTTGGACCTCAAAGCCTGGCAGATGGTATTGCAGGCAGCCAAATTCAGATTATAAATGCTGCTGAGACCCAGACCAGCCTGGTTTTTGTTTTTTCCCCCTCACCTGGCTCTGTGTCTTGACCAAGGACCTTAAAACTGGCATAATAATACAAGCAGGAATAATAATAGTGACAGGAGACAACTCCTCCTGCTGGAATCTGTGATTAGTTGGAATTAGATGGCCAGAGGAGAAAGTTTGGTTTAGTTTGTTTTTAAGAGAAAGGGTGTTTCTTGCTGGCTCAGCTTTGGGAGTTTGCAGCAAGCCATTGATGGGGGAAAAAATAATATGCACTGGGAATTAAAAGTAGAGCAAGAAGTAGCAAACCTTCCCCTCCTCATGCTCATTTGCTGGGGCTGCTTCTTGCCGTGGTAGTAGGGAAGTCTCACCACTTTCTGGTGTAACGTGATGTCTCTGTACAGGTGTTTCAGATGGGGCTTTCAAGGATTTCTTTTATCTAACCCACCATCTGCTTGCACTCTCTTTAAAGGCGAGGGATTACTCTGCCGCCCTGGGGCTGATGGTGTTTCCACCTTCTCCTGCCCTGGAGCAACGAGGCTTTTGCTTCCCCTAGTAACCTGATCCAGCTTTGGAGCAAAAGCCCGGGTGAGACTGAGTTTGGCTTTGGGGATGTCTCCATGTCCCACTGCTTTGGCTTGAGAAGCCGGTCCTGAAGCTGTCCTCCAGCCCTTGGTGGCTGCTGTGCTGAGCTGGGTGGTCACAGTGACCTTGTAACCCGTGAGCCTGTAAACAGGGATGATGCTATTTAAATGCTGAATAGTGTTAATGCTTAATCACAGCATCGCTCTGCTCTTTGCTTAGAAATTATTTGACAGTCTCTAAAGCGTACAAGTAGATGCAAATCCTTTGGGGCTGGTCTGCGATGGAAATGCCAGCATCCTTAATAATTAATTTGCATTGAAATCATCATTAAATCGTCATGTGGGGATAATAATGTGTATCAGGGAAAGCAAAGGGCTGGTTAGAAAAAAGACCTGTATGAAATCACACAGTGAGAAAGCTGGGTTTGAAACCCTGGTGTCCTGATTTTCAGGTCTAGCCCTTTCCAGCAAAGCCACCTGCATCGGCGACATTAAGAAGCTGCGCTTCTGCTCATCTAGATAAATACTTTGAATTCTTACGGGCCAGCAGCCGTTTATCGGTGTCCTCGGGATTCAGACAGAGCTGTTTGGGGTAGTGGTGTTTTTCCTCTTGAAATGTGTTTGCCGTGGATATGTCTTCTTCACCTGTGCAGCCTCCTTTCAAGATTGCAAGGAACATGCTTGGGAATAAATGCTGAAATGATGTGGGGAGAGAGCTGCCACTAGGAAAGCGACCTCCCCTCTTTGCCTTGGCAATGCCATCCTGCTTCTGGGACGGGAAGGCATGGAGCTGGCTGGAGAGGAGGGGCCAGCTCTGGGGTGGAGGAGGATGAGTTGCATCAAGGCAGAGGGGAACTGAAAGCACGACCAGGCTCCAAAGCACCTATAAATGCCATAAATAACATACCAAAGAGGAATCGGGGTACTCCTAAAAGCTGAAATTCTCCCATAGTCACCTGGCTCCAAGAGCTCAAGACTTTGCAAACAAAATACTGGTGACTATACGTGGACAGCTGGTTACTTTGGTGAACTGGAAAATCAGTTTTTCACCCCATTCTGCCTCTGAGACCCAGAAATTTCCCAACTTGAAAATTTAGATAGTCAGCAAATGCATCAAGAAATTTCCCAACTTGAAAATTTAGATAGTATATAATGATTAGGATTTAAAGAGACTCGTAGTGGTAGCATCCCTTGTTGCATCAGATCTGGAGCTAAAGATTCTTGCACTGAGTCGTCTCTGGAGAAATGTGTGATTTTTCTTTAGGTTGTTTGTATTCCTGGAAAATCAGGCTGAAAATTGAAGCGGAGCCTCTGGTCTCGCAACCAGATCCTTTGGCAGAGCCTCGTGGAATGGGACTCGCTGCAAGCCTTGAAGATACAGGAACCAGCTGGGGGTTTGGCTTCCCCATGGAGCACCAGCCACCTTCTGAGAAGGTCTGTGGTTCTTTCCCAGACTAAACCTGGCCCTACCTCCTCCTCTCGCTCTCCTGGATGGATTTGCCCTCCCGGCCCCTCCTCAAGGAAAACATGCTTAGGAAA